TGCAGAAGATCTCCACACTGGTTTCAGGCTAATCAACGCCTGTCTTGCTTTTCCGATTCTGACTTTGACGTCCTCGTCCGTCCCGCCTGTAGTTGAAACAGTGCTTCCTAGATAAGTGAAGGAGGTTACTTCCTTCAAGTTTCTCCCGCTGACGGTGATTGGAGTTTGTTGTTGTTGTTGTTGATGGTGGTGGTGCGGTATCTTCATCACTTCTGTCTTCTCTATATTCACCTGAAGTCCCGTCTTCGCTGCCTCTTCTATCAACTTGTTAGTTTTTGCCTGCAGATCTTCAAGTTTGTGTGACATTAGGCACAAGTCATCGGCGAAATCCAAATCTTCTAGGTTCTTTTCCACAGTCCAGCCAGTGTATCCCCCTCTTCTCGCTGCCTACTGTTTGCTGCATGATCCAGTCCACTAGACCACAATCAGGAATATCATGGGGGATAGTAGGCAACCTTGTTTCACTCCTGTTTTCACTTTAAAGGCATCACTGAGCTTCCCATTGTGAATTACTTGGCATGTGGCATCTTCATATACTTGTTGAGTGAGGCGGATAAAGGTTTGCGGAACTCCGTAGTATTGAAGCAGTTTCCAAATTACTTCTCGGTCGACGCTGTCAAAGGCCTTCTCAAAGTCGATGAAGTTGAGGTAGAGAGCTGATTGCCATTCTATGCTCTGTTCTATGATGATGCGAAGCGTTGCAATTTGGTCTGCACATGATTTGTACTTCCTGAAGCCTGCCTGTTCCGGTCGTAGTTTTGAATCCAGTGCGTCTTTAAGCCTCTCCAGGATGATGCGGCTTAATATTTGGCTTGCACTGGGTGGACAGGAGAGTGATTCCGCGCCAGTTCTTGCAAACACTGAGGTCTCCCTTCTTCGGGAGTTTGACAAGGTAACCCTTCTTCCAATCACTAGCCAGGTACCTTCTCTTCCTTCCACACCTTCTGCAATAGTGGTGTGAGTATGTCCACAGTTGTCTCTGTGTCTGTTTTCAGTGCTTCTGGTGAGATCCCATCTGGTCCTGCTGCTTTCCCGCATTTCAGTAGCATTATGGCGTTCAGGACTTCCATTTTCGTTGGGGGATTAATGTTCACTTGTAATTCAGCGGCTGCAGGTGGTATTTCTGGACGAAGTGCAGGTGGTGGTGGTGGTCGATTCAAGAGCTTCTTGAAGTGGTCGGCCCATCGTTTCCTCTGTTTCTCTTCTTTCGTAATTAAATTTCCTTCATCATCTTTTATTGGTTTCATCTGTGTTGGTCTCTTCCCTTCCAGATAGCAACCTGATTATTTGATACAATGTCATCAGGTCTCTCTTACCTGCAGCCTGTTCTGCTTCACTTGCCAGTGTTTCGTAGAAGTGTCTTTTGTCTTTGCGTGCACTATTCGTCACTTCTTTGTCCAGTGTAGTGTTTTATACATTGTGCTCAGTTCCTCTTGTCGTTGAGCATCCTTGCACTGGTTTATCTTCTGCTCCACCATCCTCCTCTCCCTGCTCTATCAGGTTCCATGTGTCCATCGAGATCCATTCCTTGTCTTCCACCTTCTTCCTTCCTAATACTGTTGTGCAGGTTTCTTTCCACATCTCTTTCAAAGACTTCCAGTGTTCTTCCACACAGGTTTCTTCACGGATGCCCCTCGATGTCTCCCATTTTGTCTTGATGGCTGCCTTGAAGATCTCCTTTGTAGTTTCGTCCTTCAGTTTCCGAGTGTTGTACTTGAATTGAGGTCTATCACCAGCTTCCTTGAAGGCTTTTAACTTGATTTGGAAGGTTCCTTGCACTAGATAGTGAGTGGTGTGAACCTACATCTGCTCCTCTTCTTGACCTTGTGTTAAGTAGACTGCGTCTCCATTTTCTTGAGATTGAGATAAAGTCGATTTGATTTTTAGTGTGTCCATCTGGTGAAATCCATGTCGCTTTGTGGATATCTTTGTGCCTGAACACACTGCCTCCAATCACCAAATCGTTGAATGCACAGAATTCTGCAAACAATTCTCCATTCTCATTCATTTCACCTAGCGCCTCTCGACCCATGGTTAGCTCTCTTCCCGTGTTGTCCACTCCCAGTTTGGCATTCATGTCGCCCATTAGAATTTTGATATCGCCAACTGACGTCTTGTCCAGTCTTGATTCAAGTTGTCTGTAGAAATCCTCCTTTTTCTCTTTCTCTGCATTATTTGTAGGTGCATAGCATTGTATGATTGTGACCTTTCTTCCTTTTGAGTTGAATCGTGCTGTCATGATCCTGGAGGAGATTGGTTCCCACTGCATGAGAGCCTTCGATGCTCTTGAGGACATCATGATAGCCACTCCCTCAGTGTGCTCGTGGTTGGCGTCTGGGTGACCGGAGTAGATTATTGATTCTCCAGTTGACAGTTTGGAGAGTCCACTCCCATTCCATCTGCTTTCGCAAATCCCAAGCACTTCGATGTTATACCTTCTCATCTCCTTTGCAATCTGGGCTGCCTTGCTGGGTTCAAACATCGTGCGGACATTCCATGTCCCCACGTTTACTTTCGCTTTCATCGAGAGAACAGAAGACACATCGGCCCGGCCGATTGGCTTCCCGAAGGCTTTCACCAACTGGCGTCATTTCGCCTCTCCGATTCCAGCGGGGAATAAGTTTGTTTTCATTTTTTATATTTTGTTTGTGCTTTGAAGTTTGTTTAGCGGTTAGATTTGTTTTACGGGGTAGGGTTGCTAGCCCTATGCCCAACCTTCCCTCTTTACCCGGGCTTAGGACCGGCTAGTAACTAGTAAACTAGTTAACCAGGCGATTACACGTGTACCCAATGAGAATCGTGTAATACAGCGGGAATATTTAATGGTCAGTGTGTACTTAGTTCTCAAACCAACTTCTTTGACTGGCACTTAGAATTCACCTGATGATTTTAAAATTTCTTCTACACAGAAACAATCTTCACCTATTATTATACCTTCAAAATCTACACCATTAGCATAAAGAAGAGTATGTGATACAGGCGCCAGTCGTGACAAACAAGATTTATGCTATTTATAACAAGTAGGCAAGACGAATAATGATGTATCTATATAAGTGTTCAAGACAGTGAGTTTCACAAACTTAAATAATTTGCTAACATCAGTGAGCTTGATTTTAGGTGATTGAAGGCAATTGACAGAAAGCCATAAACCAAGATTTCGGGGTTGCTAGAACTGGTCAATAAAGTGTACTTGCCACCTCATAGGAAATGAAATCCTCTTAGAGATTCGAATCCATGTTTCAGTCACAGACCTTACCAGTGAGATAATCGAGTTGCGACTGGACTTCTGGCAATTTACAATGGATAGTTGCTTGTTACTTTTGTTTAAGGTCACATTGTGTTGAGTTCATAGTGTTATGTATTAAAACCAACCTACCGATTACGTATGCAAAAGACCATCTGGACACTATTTTTCTACTTGTAACGAACCAACCAAGAACCTATCGCACAATAAATCTGCACAAGAAAGTACATACACTGAGAAGATCGTTTGGGGAAATCACGTTCCAGGTCCACACTCTCAAGTGAAAGCCAAATAGGAAACGATGAAATGGACGTCTGAGGGTGACATGGAGGAAGAAATGAAAGCTTATGGGTAGTCGTGGAGCCAGATTATAAAGACTCTAGAGAACAGAGTGAAATGGCGACGTGCTACTGAAGTCCTATGCAGCACCAGGAACTCATAGGACAAATAATAATGATGATATGATAGGAAATAGTCATAGCAAAAGCTTTCAAATACACTTTACATAAGGTGACAATGGCTATTTAAGCACTCCGTAAGATGAAAACTAAAGACGTACACTTCGCGATCATTATATCTACTCCATTGAGATGCCACAGTCATTATAAGATATGAAACATGGAAATTAAGACCTATACTGAACACAACAAAAACAACGGATTACAAAGGTATAAAATTTCGTGTGTTGAACAGTTTTGCCATATCAAGACTATGTATTCACCTTGAGTAGTATACCACTACAATAACAAAATAAAACTTACTACACTACTAGTGAATCAGAGTTTTGAGAAAGAAGAATGTCTGTATATTGACATACAGACAATATCAACGTAGAACGTCGCACACAAGTGCACCACCTCAAGTTGCCACACTTCACAATGGTATACATAAACAGGTGGACAGAAAAAGGCTGGTATCAATATACACAACGGTGTATACAGGGAGAGGGAATTTAAAAACTAAGGTTAGTCAAAACATTCAAGCTTTGAAGGACGTCAGAGTAAAGACGTCTGAGCCAGTGTCATCGACTTTCAGACACATAACCAACAGTCCTCAACCACTTATTCATACAGTCTCATTGACTACAATCAGGTAGTCTACACTTTCCTCAACGCCTCAGATCAACAGTCAGGAACTTCACCGACTGGCGCCATATCTTGATCTGGTCATACTGAAACCCTCCTTCCAATCTAATACAACTTACCCTAGTATTACACGTAGTGGTAGGTGGTGGCTAGGCATGCCCAGCATTTATTCAAGACACCTCAGTTGATGAACGTCCACAACCTCATCAATCCATTCTCCTATCTTCCCAGTACCCTTCACCAGACCTCAACATTTCTCATGACGGGATTCCACTAAAGGCGAACAATCCTATGAAGACACCCATAATCGAAACCCTGACATCACTTTATGCTTTCTCATTGTAACGGTCATGTCTCATAGTCATATATCGGGACAAAACGAACTGCAGTGCAGTTTGCCCAATCTCTAATAGGTACTCGAATATCTCACTAGTTGGTGGCAAATACTAAATGGACCTTCTGTATCCCAGTTGAGATTTTATCACTAGTCAGCTTGTTTGAGTTGATACAACTCACCAAGTAATTGAAGTGGTCAACACTTTCAACTACTTCACTCCTGTAGCATATGTCCAAGCTACCTGAGTCGACTGATTGACATTCATTCAGCTGTTTAAGAGATCATTCCCGATTGTCAAGAGTTTAACGTCTTTACATAAAGAATAATTGTTACATTCATTCATAGCTTTTTTATTACCTCAAAAGTCAAAATTAAATTATAAATAGTATAGACAAACACTTGCATAAACAACAGTCTAGTGAATCCATGATAATTTTGAAGAAAAAATAAACATACTCTCATAAGTCAAGAGTTTAAAAATGAAAGACTGAGAGTGGATCTTGTAGATTATGGCAAATAAGAATGAAAGCTAACCGGCATATATATGTCAGTGACTGAACTCTACAGAAAAGAAAAACATTCTTCAGTAGCACATAATTTTACTTTATTTATTCTAAACTTCTCCACAGAAACTATGTTAATTGAATATCTAAAATGGAGAAAAAAGTAAAATAGTTTTTAAGCACTTTCCAATCAGTTAAGTAAAGGTAAAATGGATAACAAATATGACTGTTAAGTAAACTGTCATAAATAAATGACCCTTGTCTAATTGCTGAACACAAGGAGGATGTAGCTCATTGGTAAAGGCAGTTGACTTCCGACCAATGGGGTCACAGGTTCAAAGACTGCGCACCCTCAGCTACTAAGGTTTGGACAGTCAGATAGTATCATTATTAATAACAATAATGATTTCACCCAGAAACCTTGTTCATGAAGTAGGCAATAAGTCACACCTTTTGTGTGAGGGCTAGTGATACTGCCTGGATGCCCAAACACCGATAGATGGAGTGGGGTTTGAACCTATGACCCATTCATGCAAAGCCATCTACCTAGACCAATGACTAATAGCTCAATAGTATTGTTATTACCTCTCACACAATATGTGTGGCTTATTACCAACTGTAAGGATATGCACAAGATCGCTAAGTGCATTTCAATTTTCTTCCAGTTGAAGTGAAATACAAGCAGTAAGTCTAATTTCATTTGTGCTGCTGGTTACCATAGTCTTCTTTTAAAGATTCCCATAGATTATTCAAAACAAGAGTAATTTGGGTGGACAATTGTTTTCAATAACTTCTTCCTCTTCAGGTTCTACAGTTATAAATCCATGAGAATATAATAGCTAAAATAAGGCATGATGTACGATTTTTACTATATTGAAACACTCAGTTCTATGGGTGAATGGAGATCAAATCGAATAGAATGGTGGAATATTAACCAATCTAGTGTGTTAGTTATGCAATGAAATCCCTATTGACAGAACAACTACGAAATGAGGTGACAAAATGTATAGATAATGATTCATTTATGCGCATTGGTCGCTGGTTCGAACCCGGCCGTGGTCCAAATTTTCATTTCACCTTCAACCATGAATGTGTGTGTGCGTATCTGTTTGTGAAATGTTACATCACGATTGTAAGTGACTACCGTTAGTGATATAAATAAAGAAGGGCATAAAACTAACAACATAAGAAAATGAATGTTTATCAATGTAATGGTAGTATGGAAGAAAGGGGTGGGTGGTTAAAATGTCCAATTTATGGTAGGAAAGTCCATGAAGACCATGTCGACCGTATTATACACAAGGTAAACAAAGTAAATGTACATATTTTTTTCTTTGGTACACATAGGTCCGGTTTTCTTGCGTTGATTCGCATGGTTTCAGCTATCGATAAGATGCAAAGTCGTGCACCTTCGGGGAGATTGCAAGCAACATAGTACATCACAGAAAAGGCGTGATTTACCTTAATTTAATGCCCCGTGTCTACTAGATGTCTGACTACTCGCTGAATAAAAAAGAGCATCAATAGTGCAATCTTCTAACAAAGAGAGATAATATTTCACCTGAGAAGGCCGACTGGAAACATCACGCGTCAAGCCCTTGAGTGGAACCCCGATGGGAAACGACGAGTTGGGCGTACCAGCTGGGGGTGACATGGAGGAGATCATGTGAGGAGGAAATGAGAGCTTCTGGGCTGTCGTGGAGCCAGGTTGAAAAGATTGCAGAGAACAGAGTGGAATGGAGACATGCTACTGAAGCCCTATGGTTCCATTAGGAACCCAAGGGACAAATAATAATAATAATGTAAATTCATCCAGGTTGCCACATTTCAGAGAGTAGAAAATAATCATACACAAAAGTAAAGTCATTACAAAATGGGGTGATATAAAAATTGATAGATGAACAAAAAATTATCGGCAAAAAGGTAATAAAAGGAATACACAACAATAAATGAAACTGTTCAGCATTGAGACAAAGATATAACTGACAAAATCAACGCAGAATCTCTCACACAAGTGTATCGACTCAAGTTGACCACACTTCACAGTAGTATACAAAGAACACTAGGATAGAAAAGGAGTTGTGTGAGAGAATAAAGAGTCTGAAGATTAAGGTTAGTGAGAATATTCAAGCTTTAAAAGATGTCAAGGAGTGAATACATTTGCACCATTGTGACCGATTTTCAGCCATGTTACTAAGTGTTCTCAACCACTGATTCTTTTCGTCTCAAGGACCCCAGTCAGACAGTCCACACCTCCACCTCCCGTACGGCTGAAGCCAACGGACAAAGACTTCATTGACTGGTGCCATATCTTGGTCTGGTCACCTCGAACTATTTTCCACCTTAATCCAACTTCCCCTTGCATGGCATGTCGAAATAGGCGGTAGTGGCTCGGTAGGCACAGTATATGTTCAAGCTATCTCAATCAATTAAGGTTCACAACCATGTCAACCAACTTGCCTGTCTTGCCTAGTAGTATATTACATTTCGCCTGACTTCAACATTGTTCACACACGGTGATTCCACCATACACGAAGAGGAAGATCTGATATGAATAGCGTTGAAACATTGCAAATAATCCAACCTCTGATAATATATATATATATATATATATATATATATATATATATATATATATATATATATATATATATATATATATATATATATATATATATATATATATAACGTCAATTTCGTATCATATGTGAAATAAAAACGTACACTTTCCTGAATGGATTACAACAAAATTATGAACTTCACAGATTTCTGATATACCTTGATCAAAATACTCCAGGTAATATAGTCCATGACTGAAGTAGTCTCTAACTAAGCACATGTAACGAATGACTCAACCAACGTATTATATGAAGGTACACATTATCATCAGTGAAGTCACCTATTTTAGTTCATGCTTAGCACCATTATATATTCCACTCGATTCACTCGATGGCTGAACAACAAGCAATTAATATACTGAAGCAGATGATAAGCTTTACTTGTAACTTTGAAATTTCCCCAAACCTTCAGAGATACTGTTTCACAGTCATTAAACACTCAATCCTAAGCCTTTATTTTATATAGAGATGTGTAGTAAAATAATCAACAATTTATTCACTTACCAATCGTTTTGACCTATATTCCACTGGTAATCATACCATGAGAAGTTAAATCATTCTCAAGCTTTATTATTTCTGCTCGAAGGGATCCTAAAGATGTGTTAAAACTACGTGACTGCCTAGATGAAAGTAAAATCCATTAAAAAAAAAGGGACTCAAGATCATGTATATCAATCATTTATTTCTAATTGGTAGGAAAATAATCAGCTATTCAGTATATAGGATATTACTTCGTTATATATATATATATATATATATATATATATATATATATATATATATATATAAAAGAACTAATATTAAGATGTACGTTAAATGTACAGTTTAGATTCAATGATATGATTTATAATGAGACGGACGGTGTTGAAATGGGGTCTCCCTAAGAAAATTTTGACCATGAATCTAGCATTTAAAGGAGACACCACAGCAGAAGTGCTGAAAAATCGTCTGTATCAATGATAGCTTCTATGCTGCTAGACTAAGACTGATATTTCTCCAGCCACCGTCTGATTCGTCAATGCGTGAAGGATAGGCTTCCATTTATGTCCACATCTATGTGTATCTACAAGTTCACATGCTGACTACATTGGACGTTGTAAGCCGGCCCTCCGAAAACGTGTTGCTGAACACAACCTGGTTCGGCTTACCAGAGGCGAGCAAACGAAAACGACTTCATCCATATGTGAACACCTTGTTGAATTGGGACATTCAGCACCTCGAGATTCATCCTTTAAAATTATTTACAAAGTTAAATTGAACTACTTCAAAGGTTTACGTTCCCACTACTTATGCATAGCTGAAGCCTTAGCTATATTTTAATACAGGTTATAGTAAAAAATAGCTTGCCCAACTACTGGAACCGGTTTGTAGGTAATGTTCTGTTTCATTGATTTAACTGAAGATAATATGATGCTGTTCCTCGATCTCAATTCGCTATTCGACAACACTCCACTACTAGAATTGTGGTTCATTAGTTTGGGTAGTTGATTCTCAACCAATAGGTCAAGGGTTCAAAAACCACTTCACCTACAGAGGTTTGGGCAGCCAAAAAGTGCCATTGATCCTCATTGCCTACGGTACAAATGTGCATAAGGTAGTTGAGTGGATTTCATTTTGTTTCGCTTCGTTCAAATTGAAAGAACTTATACAGAGTTGTACTATGAATGTTCAATTCATATTCAACAGTGGTTTGTATATACAAGTGGATGGGATAGCAATAAGTTCCTCACCTGAAACTGTTCATGATCAACTTGGAAAACAATTGTTGCAAGACGTACATAAACTCATTTAACATGTACAACAATCCTAAGGATGATACCTTCTATATTGTGTAATAGCAAACTTGAGGTGAATGACAGTCAGAAAATTTCGGAAAAATGTATTCAAGAATTAGATTTTCATATCGAGTCCAAAATTTAGAAAAAATCCCCTTCTTACCAAGTCTGATAAAGCAGTAACTAATAGAAGTGCATGTCAAAACCGTCTTATATTATTTATTTATCTGTTCCTTGAGTTCCTAGTGGAACATAGGGATTCAGTAGCATGTCTCCATTCCACTCTGTTCTCTGCAATCTTTTCAATCTGGCTCCACGACAACCTAGAAGCTCTCATTTCCTCCTCATATGATCTCCTCCATATCACCCTCGGATGCCCCAAAACCGTCTAGTAGGGGATAATATATACACTCCTGGGGTTTCATTCCTCTATTGCAAAGCAGAAATCCAATTAGGTGTTTGCCAGACAGAACGAGGAGAATATATTGAGGAAATGCAATCAACGAAAGGTTAAATAAACTGAAAAATGTCTTTCAAGAAAAAATGAATCGGTTACTTTCACTCATGAGAAGTAACTGTTACTAAACCTTCAATTTAGGGGATATAATCTCATCAGAAAACACCACAACGACTTAGTGAGAAAGATGCCCCAAGCAGCAACTCTGATGCTTACTTTTGCAACTACGTTTATCTTATCACCGCGATTCAACAACAAAATTCTTAATATGTCCAGACCAATATACATTTATAAATTCAACTGCTCCTGTGGAATAAGTGGGATACACTATGAGGTGTCTCTCTCAAAGTGCTAATCAGCATTCACCTGTGTGGCCGACCAAAAGAGAAAGCGAAAATGTCGTTAATTCTATACAATCACATCTAATCGACATTGATTACACACAGGGAAAAATGTTAACCATCTCAGCGGAAACCTAAGCATAAATCACAGGCAGTGAGAATTCGTTTTCTATTACTACTAAAATGACTTCAGGTTAACGCAGAGAAGACAGAGGTAATGAAGATACCCAACCAACAACAACAATAAGCACCAATAGCCATCAACGGGAGGAATCTGAAGGACGTTGTCTATTTCACCTACTTAGGCAGTAACGTTTCATATACAGGAGGAGGCGTTGGCGGCGGCACAGTTGAGGATGTCAATGCAGCCATGATCGGAAAGATAGCAAGACAGGCCTGTCCTCATTAATCTGAAATCAGTGTGGAGATCTACTGCACTGCACTCAATCAGCATAAAGTGTGAACAGGATCCAGATTTTCAACACTAATTTCGGTTAAGTCAGTGCTTCAAAGACTTGGAGCGTTACGAAAAGCATTTCCAACAAACTACAGACACATCAACAGCTGCCACCAACGCCCACTCGATAGTGAAGATCAGATCGCCAGAAAGAACAAGCAACATGAAACTCACTCTGGCAACGAACCAACCGAGAACGTATCGCCCAATAAATATGCACAAGAAAGTGGAGATGGATTGGACTAGAGATACACTGAGAGGACCATTTTGGGGACACCACATGCCAGGTCCACACTCTCGAGTGGAAGCCAAATAGGAAACGACGAGCTGAGCGTCTGAGGGTGACATGGAGGAGATCGCTTAGGAAGAAATGTAAGCTTATAGGCAGTGGTGGAGCCAGGGTTAAAAAGACTGCAGAAAACAGAGTGAAATGGCAACGTGCTACTAAAGTCCTATGTTGCACTAGGAACCCAAAGGATAAATAATAAATTACCATTAAAATATTGAAGACAGAAATGTGTGCACACTCCACTGATTTCCCATGACCCTCCAAGAACCTGGATATCACATAAATCAGTTTCAAACTGACTTATAATCATATTCTTCCTGGCACAGACAACTCTATTCGTCGCCTTCGAATTGTAGTAGTCTATTGAACACATTATTTTATGATCTGAAGTATATATATATATATATATATATATATATATATATATATATATGCTTTTTGTATACTACTGTGAATTGTGGTAACTTGAACCGATGGATTTATGTACCAGGTTCTTCGTTGCTTTTGCTTTTCTTCCACGTGATTAGTCTCGAACATGCTTACTTAGTCTCATGTACTCAATTCACTTAGGCAATCCAGCACTCCGAAAGGCTGACAAAACAAAGTTCCATGCCTATTTATCCATATATATCAAGTGGTCTGATTCATCTGCGTATATAACACCATATCAGCTGATCACAACTCATCATGATTTACAAACAATGGTGTATATATATATATATATATATATATATATATATACCAGTTGGAGGAACAAAGGAAACCTGGGAGCACTGGACAGCTGTTTCGTCCTAGTATGGGACTCCTCAGCAGTGCGCACCCACGACCCCACCGCGGAACCTGAAGGTCGCGGGTTCGATCCCTGCTGGTGGGGTCGTGGGTGCGCACTGCTGAGGAGTCCCTTACTAGGACGAAACAGCTGTCCAGTGCTCCCAGGTTTCCTTTGTTCCTCCAACTGATGTCAGTCTACGATGAATAACAACTTGAAATAATTCCAAATCTCCACAACTCCCTCAAAATTATATATATATATATATATATATATATATATATATATATATATATCCTTTTCAATCGCTCTGCACACACACTACACCATCCACCTCTATTTCATTCACTTTTCACTCTATGTTTGTTGTTCTCCCCCTGTTATTGGAATTCCTACCATCTTGGGCTGCAATCACATACCTGTACTACTATCGTATCGTGTTTTGCTTTGTGTTTACTGATCGATTTTGTTGTCTGACTTGTTGTAACTTGTCCCGTGTATTGGTTGATGAGGTCGTGAAATTTGTCATACATCCCCCACATGTATATATGTATGTATGTATTGATGTCAAGATGTGAAACATGTATTTGGTGTTGATTTTACTGTTGAAATGTATTAAATCACTTATGCTGGACACTGACAGTTTACCGAGCATAATTTTATATTGTGTATGTGTAAGATTTAGAGCATATGAAATGAATTCGATTCATCCAACAGTGTTTGTTCTTGCTTTGAAGAATAATTGTTTGTTGAGTGGAATCTATTGTTGTACATTAACTCATATTTGGTTTTTAAAATCATTTTTTTCCGCTTTTGTGAATCATGAGTTGTGATCAGCTGATATGGTGGTATATACGCAGATGAATCAGATCACTTGATATATATGGATAAATAGGCATGGAACTTTGTTTTGTCAGCCTTTCGGAGTGCTGGATTGCCTAAGTGAATTGAGTACATGAGACTAAGTAAGCATGTTCGAGACTAATCACGTGGAAGAAAAGCAAAAGCAACGAAGAACCTGGTACATAAATCCATCGGTTCAAGTTACCACAATTCACAGTAGTTTACAAAAAACATGTGGGTAGAAAAAAGAGTGATACTAAAGTAGACAAAGGTGTATGAAAGAATAAATAGTTTGATAATAAATGTTAGTGAGAATATTGAAGCTTTAGAAGAGTGAATACATTTGCACCTTTGTGATTGATTCTCAGCTATATAACCAAGAATCCTCAATAACTGATTCCAATCGTTTCAAGGACCCCAGCCAGGTAGTCTATACTTTTCTACACCGTCGAGACCAACAGCCAGGGACTTCATGTACTGGTAAAACGTCTTAGTCTGGCTACCCTGAACCCTCTATCAAACTATTCTAACTTCCCTCAGCATTCCACATTGAGCTGTGTAATGACTCGTCATCGGCAGCATGTACCTAAGACACCTAGATAGATGATGGTTCTCAATTGGCTTGCCTGTTTTGCCTAATACCCTTCGCCTGACCTCATATGGTGATTCCACCGCAGGCGAGCAACGCTACCAAGACACTAATGATCAAAATCAGGCAACCATCTCGTGTCTTCTACTTTTGATGGCCATGTCTCAGCCGTATATAACCGGATAAAACGGAATGCAGCGCAGCATACTCTTAACGGATAGTCGGATATTTTGCCACCTCGACAGATGACACAAGTCGGCAAATATCAAACGTGCCTACTGTATCCTAGCTGAGATTTTCGTTAGCGACCATCCCATTCGGGCTGATGCAACTCCCAAAGTAAGTGAAGTGGTCCACACATTCCACCACTTCACTCCCTATCATTAAACTGTAGTTGTGGCAGAGCAGCCCTGGAGTATCATCTTACATGTGACAGGTTAAGACAATTGGTACGTCTATAACGAAATTAAATGGGAACGATGACAGTGGGCATCCATAGCGGATACCATTGGTTGTTTTGAATTTCTATGATACCTCTTCATAAGCCTTTACACGGCTGCGTGAGTTCCAGTAGATAGATTTAATAAGCATTATATGCTTACTTGGAACCCGATTCATAGTCAAACACTACCACAACACCTTGCGGTCATCACAGTCGAAAGCCACCTTCAAGTGAAGAAATATGACAAGTTGCGGCCACTAGCATGTAAGTGTGCCTGTGTTCCAAAACGTGAACACAGTGGAGATTTGAAAGATGCAACCTCGTGTAGGTGTGAAACCCGTTTGGTTTTTTCCAGCTCCAGCTGAGCGTCGGATAACTATGAGTCTTAGGATTTAGGACATAACATTAGTCAAATTGATTTACTATGGTTACCACGGGAAGACCTCTCTTCCTTTTTATAAACTGAGATGATCAATAAAGTAGAAGAGTCTGACAAGACTAAATCTCATTCCCATACACTACCTAGTACTTCTATCATTTTAAATAACAATTTCCTACCTTCATCCTTGGAAACTGTCAGGTCTTGCTGCTTTGCATCGTTTCAGGTTCGATACAGCCCTCTCGACTTCAAGAATAGTTTGTGAACCGACATCTAAGTGCTTTTCAGGTTCAGGCTGAATGATGGGCTAGAGCAGCGTTAAGAATCAATCAACAGAATCACGCGCAAGATAGTCACAACCATGCAAAGTTATGACACCTTTAGCAGTTAAAAAAAAATGATGGAAACCACTACAAACAACTGGATGAAGATAGAAAAATAAGCAGGAGTGAAGTAACAAAATATTAGTATTAGTATGTTCTAACCATTCAAAGTTACTATACACAACCATTTAGTTATCCAATGCATACGCAACTATTATCTAGAATCTCATCGAGAATTGCGTTAATTTCCATCCATCCATCCAGATCAACCTAAGACCGGGCATTACTGACTAACGGTATGAGTTGCCACACCTCACATCACTACATCAACTAAAAAGGCAGTGAGGAACAAGATGAAGATGAGAGAATGCAGTCAAAAGGAATGTAAACTACGAAAAGAGAGGAAGGAAGAATGAGAAAGTGGTGAGATTTGGTATAGCATCATTAAGATAAGGATAATGTATGTATACATCTGCGCCACTGACATGGGTTCTGAGCCATATCCCCTAGAGTCTCCAGATACTGGTTCCTCTTGTCCCGCCGACCCCAACCACCTAGTCTGCATCGCCCCACATGGCTCAAACTAACAATCAAACACCTCATACATTGGTAACATGTTTTGGTCTGGCCACCTAGAGCCTTTTTCCAGCCTGGACCTACTTCAGCCAACATTGTATGACGAGGCAATCGGCGGCTAGGCATACGTAACATGTATCCCAACCATCTCAGTCGATGAAGGTTCACAACCTCGTCAACTGACTTACCTCTACTCCCTAGAACTCTCCACCTGTCTTCTGAGTTACTCAGGTGGTGACACCACGGAATACGGCCTATACTACGAAGGCGACGGTAGTCAAACATCTGAAGCCTTCTCATGAATTCCACTTTCAATGTCCATGTTTTACAGCCATACAGTAGAACAGACGAAACTGCTGTGCTGTATGTGAGCTAGTTTTAAGAAAAAACTCTATTTTAACAAATAATTCCAGAAAGAAATTCTGTTCAATTCGCCACAATTTATATCAACCTGAAAAGCAGTATAGTAAGAAAAGGAAAGGAAGGAGAACAAATAAGGAAATGTGATAATGCTGTTGATTCCTATTTACACCATCCAGTCTTAAACTATCGGTCTAAGCGATCTTACGAATATGAACCTGGAAGCCAACACAACTCAGATTAGCAATGCATATAATCACACTCTTTTCAATTCTTTTAATTCTATATTTTAAAGATTATTTCATATGATTTACCCTAAAACTTTGTTTAGTTTATTGAAAACAACAATAACAAACATATACAACTTCAGTAGGAAAATAATCTTACTTTTTTTCAACAGGTATAATATCACAGTTGCCATCAATTAACGCTTCCAAAGTTTTCATATCAATTCCTAGAGTAGCTAACGAACTAACAGGATATTTGTTAACAAGTTTAGATGGATAATTATGGGAGTGTAAACTAGTAAATAAACAAAATTTTTCCAGACTGGCACGAATTTCATGCTTTAAATGATTGAATTTTTCTTGTAGTATAGCTTTTTCATTCATTGTATTATGAAGTGACTGAACTACTGTTGATAGATGTTCACTAGTTAACTACAAGACAAAAAATGAGATAAATTGTTACTGGCGTTTAAAATTATCAGATAATATCGGCTATTTTAAAAATATTAACTAGTTAAAAAAAAGGGTACAACTGCCAAAACCTAACCTAAAATATAATTATTTTATTATTATATTTATTATTAGTCCCTTGGGTTCCTAGTGGAACATAGGGATTCAGTAGCACGTCTCCAGTGACCTCTGTTCTCTGAGATCTTTTGAACCTGGTACCACGACAGCCCAGAAGCTCTCATTTCCTCCTCGCACGACCTCCTCCATGTCACCCTCGGCACCGACGCCCAACTCGTCGCTTCCCATGGGGATTCCACTCGAGGGCCTGGCTGGTCTGGTGCATGATGTCCCCAATCGGCCTTCTCAGTGTATGCCCAATCTAATCCATCTCCACTTCCTCCTGCATATTTGTTGCGTGATAGCTTCTTGGTTGGTTCGTTCCCAGAGCTCCTTGTTGCTTATTCTTTCTGGCAACCCATTTGATCTTCAGTAGCGAGCGTAAGTGGAAGTTGTTGATGAATATCTGTAGTTTATTGGAAATCCTTTTCGTGACGCGCCAAGTCTCTCATCCACCACACAGAAGCACCAACTTGACGTTGGTGTTGAAAATCCGCATCTTGTTCCATATGCTGAGTGCAGACGATCTCCACACTGGCTTCAGGCTAATGAACGCCTGTCTTGCTTTTCCGACTCCGATTTTGACATCCTCGTCTGTGCCACCACCACCTGTAGTTGAAACAGTGCTTCCTAGATAGGTGAAGGAGGTTACTTCCTTAAAGTTTCTCCCGTTGATGGTGATTGGAGCTTGTTGTTGGTGGTGGTGGTGGTGATGCGGTATCTTTATCACTTCTGTCTTCTCTATATTCACTTGAAGTCCCGTCTTCGCTGCCCTGCCTCAACTCTTCTGTCAACTTGTTAGTTTTCGCCTGTACATCTTCAAGTTTATGTGACATCAGGCACAAGTCATCGTTGGCGAAATCCGTCTTCTAGGTTCTTTTCCGCAGTCTAGCCATTGTATCCCCCTCTTCTCGCTCCCCACTGTTTGCTGCATGATCCAGTCCACCACAATCAGGAATATCATGGGTGATAGTAGGCAACCTTGTTTCACTCTTGTCTTCACTTCAAAAGCATCACTGAGCTTCCCATTGTGAATATAATTATATAATATGAATATAATTATAATTATATAATTATGACGGGAATTTTAATTTTGAGGTAGTATTCATCACGAACTGATATCATTTAAAGAACCATTGGAAACCTAAGAGAACCAAACACATGTTTCGTCCAACTATAGGACTTTTCAGTAGAGCGCACATACTACCCGGCTGTGAATTGAACTTCACGCCTTCAGGTTTCAAGGTGATAGCGTTAACTATTCAGTCAGTGGGTTGGATTTCAATGGTTCACAGGTTTGTGATGCTGCCTCGAAAACACAATCTCCATTAACCGTAAACTACAGTAATGTATAATGCTTATTAGTGGTATGCTTCCAGATGGATATCCCGAAGTTCTAACGAGAAGCTGTTACCTATGAGGGTCAACCAGTCGGAAGGGAAACGAATGCCGACTGAAGACCTTGAGTAATAGTAACTGTGAACCACTGAACTCAAACCCAGTGGCTGGATGGTTAACGCATTTGCCATGAAATTTGAAGATCCTCGGTTTGATCCCAAGCCGGTCGTGGGTGCGAGCTTCTGAGGAGTCCCATTCTAGGAAGAAACAGCTGTCCAGTGCTTCCACTTTTTCAATGGTTCTCCAACTGATATCAGTTCATGATGAACACTACCTCAAAATATAATTATATCTCATAATGCAGTACTAAATGTACAAGGCATGAATCCCTCTTAGCATTTCCCAATCATTCAAAGATTGTATGCTCCTGAGAAAGCATACTGGTACTGTTTTTCTGAGAAAAAAAAATTGAATTTAAATTGCAAGAAGAGTACGCTCAGTTGTTTGCTTTACAGCAAATAAAGGCTGATGGAATGAGTACCGACAAAATCTCTTACATCTAAATTTTGTAATACGCAGACCAATAGGCAATGCGCATTTCATGTATGCCAGAGTAACTGAAACTGAAGTACACGTAAGTAAATTACTCCATAATGTAATCTTTTGGTCTGTTTCTTATGTGATGCTTAACAGTATACCTCAAGTCATAGATTTCTTCAGAGAAATTAATTGGCATACTAAGAACACTCTGCCTGTGAATACTTTTTAAATTTAGTAGAAAAAAAATCTAGAAATTGGCATTGGAACTTAAATACACCTAATGAAGCATTCTTTAATGTTGTTTGATACTTGTAATTTCTTGTTGCCATACAGGGATAAATTGTTCGACCTCTGTTGGTTGATGGGCTCTAATGAGGATGCCTCGATACTGCCTCTAGTGGATAACGCTTTGTTGTCTGAAACAATAGGCAGTGGGTTCGAGTTTCAGGGGGAATGATATCACTCACTGAGGTGTCAGTACATCCAGCTGACGAGTTTCAAATGCGACGAAACGCGCATCCTGGATTCCACTGATAGTCATTAAGATGAATATAATATATTCTTTAATGTCTTATAGAGTATGTTAATATTACTTAACTTGAGTTGTCGTTAGAAAGTTAGTGTAACACCAAAATTCGCCTATTCCATAATGCCGTAATATTTCTTGTAATTTTTAGTTCAACTTCTTGCTAAAAAAAAAGTACACAAAATGTCACAGATATGCAGTCGATTGAATGAAAACCTATTTTAAACTTAATAAGTTAAAGCGGTCTGCTTAAATCTCGGCCTATCAAAACACTTGTAGAGATTTAGTGATTTTTTCATGTTATTATTTATCGTAGACTGATATCAGTTGGGGGAACAAAAGAAACCTGGGAGCACTGGATAGCTGTTTCATCCTAGTACGAGACTCCTCAGCAGTGCGTACCCATAACCCCGCCAGGAATCGAACCCATGACCTTCCGGTTCCGTGGTCAGCACGTTATCATTGAGCCACTCGGTCACAATCCAATCGTCTATGTTTCCAACTTCTATTATTATTATTATTATTATTATTATTATTATTATTATTATTATTATTACTATTATTATGTGATAGCCAAAAATGATACCCTATAGGAAATTATTCACCAATGAAATCTGTTAACATGTCCCATCCAATTAACCAATAAAATACAATCTATTTATCCCGCAAAATAAATCACAATTCAATAATTAGGGTATACCTTAATAATAGTTTTCATTGAATTTATTTCACTTTCATAAAAAGATTGTTTTTCATCTTCATGTGCACGTAATGTAGCAACCTCCTCTCTTGATAAAGCAATTTCTTGACGTAACTGATTCACTAGCTTCTGAGTTTCAGTAAGCTCAGCTTTAGTATTATTCAATTCAAGTACAACAAGTTGATGAGCGCTGACAGTTGATATTTCATGTTCATCAATCGAAGTTTGAATTTCTGCTCCTTTTTGAAAAGTTACAATATTGTCGGTAGCCTGGTTTAAATTTTGGTTTAAACCTGAGACATACATGGATAAACAATCTTGTTCACTTTGTGTATTTTTTAGATGATTAAAAGTAGACAAGCTGTGAATCTCAGATTCATTGCATTTATGCAATGAAGAACGTGTTGTCATATCAGACTGAGAAGCACTGTGTATACCTGAGTCGAATGTTTCATTCGGAGGCTCAGAAATGATGAAAGGTTGATAACATTGTTCATGATCATTATGCATAGAATAGCTGGTTAACTGATCTAATTCAGTACAATCATACGATGTGGAATTTAACCCCTTTTGGTTATCATAGTGAGTTAGATGGTTAGTATTTTCGTGGGATGACACTTCTAAAGTAGATTGACAATAACTAGCCTTTGAATAATTGTTCTGAGAATTATATGCAAAGTATTTTGTCAATATATTTGATTTCTTAGTTTCAGATTTCTTATTATGAAAACCAATAGCATAATCTGATGACTCTGTGTAAGTATTATTCTGATTAATATTTCGTGTTGGATCGTTTTCAGTTTCTGATGATGTAATACAAATATTTTTCTCATCATTAGCAGAGAAAAAATTTTGTTGAGATATTTCATTAAGCATTTGTTCTGATGAAATTGATGGATGTTTATACATAATACTACAATTCATATACATAGGTGTCAAGTTTGAAGATGAAATAACGCTAATAACTTCAGTAGAAGGAGAAGAAACTAAGATTTTATTTTCAGTATTATTTAGATAAGATTTAAAGCTTGAAATATATGAACTTTGAGAGGGTAGACTACAAACATCATAGTGAAAATTATTATCTTGAATTTTATATGACTCTATGTTAAAATGATCTGAATTCTGGTGTTGATTATTATCATTGAAATACATTTGATTGACAGTTATAGAAGTATTTGAAGTTTGAATAACAGAAGATGAATCAACATTATTTGTCATATCTGATGATGATAATAACTGAGGATATGAGTAGTTATGAAGACAATTTGATTTTATATAATTCTCGTTATATAATGTAGAATTTGATAATATTTGATCTATTGGTATATACAAGTTGATTTTATATGGAATATCAATTGAAATAACATTATTATTATCCGATAATAATAAGTCGTTATCATTAGGATATTTTATAATAGATTTTATTTCTTGTTTTTCTATACTTAAATTTTTAATTAATTTATAATAATTATTTAATTGACTTTCAAGTATCTTAATTTTATTCATCATATTATCTCGTTGATTTGTAAGGTCAATAATATGCATAGATTTTAATTCAATTTCATGTTGTAATACACTAAAACTTTTTTCAACTTTCATTAAATTATTTTTTAATTTAATTAAATAATTATTTAATATCTCTTTTTCATGTTGTATTGCTGAAAGAGTTAATGTAAGTGTTGTTTTCTCTTCAAGAATTTCATTAATTAAAATATCTTTAGTTACATAACTATGATTATAATCTTTTAAGTTATCTAAAATAATATTATACTTAGAGATTCGATTATTTAAATAATTCTCTTTCTCTAAATATTCTCTTTCAAAACAATTTAATTTATTTAATAAATTTTTATATTTATTTTCTGAAATTTTTAATGCTTTTTCACTATTTAATAATTTATTTTTTTGGTATAAAATATATTCTTCAGCTGTTGTAAGTTTCATTTGTAAATTTAAAATATATTTATGTAATTCAATAATTTCATTAGCTTGTTGATGATATCTATTTTCAAATGAATTTTTTTCATTAGTAATATACTGAAATATTGTTTCACGTTCTAATATATCAATACGAATAGATTCTAATTGACGAATAAGATTTCGTTTTGTATCAATTAATGATGCTTTAGTACATGCTAGTTGAGCTTGTAAACAAGCATTTTCATGTATTAATCGATGATTTATATCATTATTATCTTTTAATAGATTATAAATTCTTATCGGTTCTATATTACAATGATCATGTCGAGATTGAGTCAATAAAAGTTGATCTGCATACCAATCACGTGAATATCTTAAATTTTCAATTTCTTTTTGTAAATCATTTTGATGATATATAGCTTGTAAATGAACACTTCGAAGAGATTCCATTTCAGCGTATAACTCAGACACCTTTTCTTTGAGTTTAGCAATAATATCAGCTTTTATTAAACCATCTCTTGTTAATTCATATAAATGATTATCAAGTTGTTTTTCTTCATATTTTACAAGATTAAGTTCATTTACAATTTTTTCAGTTTCTTCAGTATCTTTATTAACCTGTTTCTTAAGATAAATTAATTCTTTTTCATAATTATTCAATGATTTATGCATTTTTCTTTCAATATCATTATTTCTCTCCATTAAAATATATATATGTTGAAGAGATGTTTCTGAGAATGATCTTACAAGTTTTTTCTCATTCTTATAATGAATAAAACTTGAAAGTGACATCATTTTTTGTTTAGTTAACGCACAAACACGAGCATCTGACGACTGAGAACGAATAGAGGAATTGAAAGAAATATTATTTATAAATGATGGTCTACAACATTTCAAATGTCTGTAAGCATGATGTGAATATAGATTGATAAAGTTTACAGTATTGAAAACTGGTTGATAACTGATAAATTTCAATGGTTCATTGAATAAATATATACTCTGTGTTAATCTTTCACACTTTTGATCCCATAAATTTTTCAAATTACTTTTCTTAACCAATTTCAATTGATCATTATGATAAGATGTGAAAGAATCATCTAAACGAGAATTATCATTCAATGATTGTGATTTTTTCTTTTTTTCAACAATTGAATAGTTACAAAAACTAGATGTTGGAAAATAAGTTTTTTTATGAAATTTATAATCTAAAATTAATAGGATTATATTACAATTAACATCTACCTGAAGCGAAGTCTTCGTTAAAGTTTACAACTTTATCGAATGCTGTAAGATCATTAATATCCATTCGTTAATTTTAACTTCCACTCAATTCATTGCAGAAATGAATCAGCTATGACAACATTAGAAATCAGGGAGAATAATCATTATTTTAAGCTAGTTTACATTTAAACTACTCTTTAACAATTAAAATGATCTACAATATGAAGAAATTATCCAGCAAACAATCCCTACGAAAATATATACACCAAACTACAATAGCTCAATGGTAACTAAACCTGGAGGTCCTGAGTTTCATGCCTGATAGGGCGGGGTCATGGATGCGCACTGATGAAGAGTTCCGTACTAGGACGAAACAGCTGTTCACTGCTTCCATGTTTTCAATGTTTCTTCAACTAATAACAGTCTAGGATGAATTCAGACTTAAAACCAATTAATACATCTCCACAAACTTATTGGTCACTAGCTCTGAGAGGTAATTCCTGAAGTTTCAATGAGAAGCCGTGACCAGTGGGGCCAACCAAGTCGAACATGAGGACAGTTAGTCAACGATGATATTGGATGTAGGCCGCACTATATATCGAGAACTAACAGAAGTAGGAAGTACGGACTATTGGTAACGTGCTGGTCACGAAACCTGAAGGTCCTGGGTTCGATCCCTGGTGGATAGGTTTCATGGGTGTCCACTGCTGAGGAGTACTATACTAGGATGAAACACTTGTCTAGTGCTCCCAGTGCTCCAATGTTCCTCCGAACGATGTTACTCTATGATGAATTTCAATCTAAAACCAGTTAATAAATCTCCACAAACCTCTAGACGCAATATTTGGTTGCTCTTTTCTGAGCATGAAACTGATCATGATAAGAGACATCTATGTTTATCATAAATAATGATTGAAATTTCAAGTTACCTCATCGATAGGTCCTCATATTCTCAATACCTCAGAAGTAGACAGTCATAAAAAGGTAGATTCTTAAAAGGCTTACATGTACAACAAAAGTAGCTCAACCGATAATGGATAACAATTTAATTTTTCTTCACTTTTTACGCTACTTGATTCAAGTAAGTTTATGAGTTAGACGTGACAAATTTCTACTGTAAATACACTACAGAACAAGTGAGCTAATAAAATTTCAACATTTAGGACATCTTACTTATAAAATCACAATGAAGGTATGTAGCAATAAATGACTAAATCTCAGCACAGATAGATACAAACGGTTATTTTGACTTCTAGTCAACTTTACGCAACTCTGACTTCGATAAGACATTCAAATGTCTACTAAAATCAGAATGTGGTGAGCAGTGCTGATTTATCTCTTAAAACATGATTGTGGGACAGTCATTAAATCAAATTGATTTGAGAAGACTGTAAAACATAACAACAGTAGTCGTCTTGTCAAGGTTGTACATCTATGACAGGACTAAGATGAGGCTTAGTAAAAACAATATCAATATACTTTTCTATGTATAAAACACACTACAGAGAACCTTAGTCTAAGTTGAAGACGAAATTTGTCAAAATGTGCAAACTATGAAGATGTAAATAAATTCAATACGGCTTTAAAAAGGATGTTTCAGTCGTATCTCTTCATACCATAACAACAAACCATCCCTTCCATCCAGACCAACCTAAGACAGGGCATTACTGACTAACGGTATGAGTCGCCACACCTCACATCACTACATCAACTAAAAAGGCAGTGAGGCACAAGATGAAGATAAGAGAATGAAGTCAAAAGAAATGTAAACTACGAAAAGAGAGGAAAAAAGAATGAGAAAGTAATGAGATTTGGTATAGCGTCGTTAAGATAAGGATAATGTATGTATACATCTGCGCCACTGACATGGGTTCTGAGCCATATCACCTAGAGTCTGCAACCACAAGATCTTTGATAAAAATAATAAAACCATTCAAAAAAGATATGAGAATTATAGAAGTACTTCATAGCAGAATTTTTCACATAGAAATGAGGTCAAACTGTCTGAATTAAAATAAGGAAGTAATGCAGAACTTGGTTTGCACTCAACCCATCCCTGTAGACTGACGTAATTTTCACATGTGCTATGAGAACCATACTCACAGGTGCACATTAACTAATCTTGTTGTTCCCGACCGATAGCTGCTACCTTGACGTGGTGGTCGGGCTTGCATATCACAATGACCCAACGAGCTATGCTGGTGGAACGCTTGTTCCCTCGAGGTCCTACCATACCAGAAAGGTCTGTTGGGTAGTGGTTAGACGAAAAGCAGTTACCGTTATAGTGTAAATTGCTACACTATGATGGGGGTCTGAGGGCGAAGTCGTACTGCTGCTAGCTGGATGGGGTGTGACAGCAGTAAGGTGTTTCCCTTGGATGACCAGCAGTGCCATGCTGATGCTGCCTTCTCAGTGGAAGGGGGGGTTAGAAAAGGTCGGCCCCAAAAATAACACACTCCACCACGCCCCACGGTCTGCCGGGCCGGCGGTGTTGGTTCACTTGTCGTTTCCTTTCGACCATCCGGCCCCAAAAATACAAAATTCAAAATAATCATACTCAAAAGGCTGGGTGTGACAGGCCTCAAGCAGATGTCCGATGGGCTCTGCGGTCACACAAATCTCTTTCAGGTACCTTAAGAAGAAATAGCCTTCCACGGTGTGGGCAGCCGGGAAGTGTCAACCGCCCTCACAACTCTGTCAGCACCCAAGTTTCTTCTGACTGCTATCCTCCTCCTCCATCATTACCTTCTAATCTTCCTTCACGTCTCTTAATTAATGATGCTGCATCATCTTCAATTTCTCCTACCTCTGCAGCCTTCGACAACGATCTGAGTCCACAGAACAGCATCCCTGGTCTCCTTAAACCACGCTCCAAATTACATATTGGAGCCTTCAATGTCCGCACCCTCCGTCAAATTGGCCAACAGGCTTCGTTGGCAAAGACTCTAGCAACTCGGGCATGGATGTGTGCTGTGTTTGTGAGACACGCATACAGGACCCAAGTGTGGTTATTCACCTGACCTCTCCTGACCAATCTGGTGAATCTGCAAAATTCACCCTTCGAGTTTCTGGAGATTCGATAGCTAGCTCTCGTGGTCTTGCAGGTGTAGGTATAGCATTAAGCACCAGGGCAGAAAACTCACTACTAGACTGGATCCCAGTTGATAGTCGCCTCTGCGCTATGAGGCTGAACGGCACAGTGAGAACTAAAAGGAATAGTGAGACTCGCCGTTGTCTCTTTGTAATCTCTGCTTACGCACCCACTGACTGTAGTTCGGATGAAGTGAAGGACGAGTTCTACCATAAACTGTCTAACCTCCTCTCGAAAGCCAAACGTTCGGACGTAGTGGTTGTTGCAGGTGACCTCAACGCACAGGTGGGTAGACTGAGTGAGGCAGAAAGGCACTTAGGTGGCACTTTCGGAATCCCAGCTGAACGTACAGATAACGGTGATCGCCTATTACAACTATGCTCAGATAACCGCCTATTTTTAGCCAGCACAAATTTCAGACATAAAGAAAGGCACTGTCTGACCTGGCGTCCACCGAGCTCGACTCAGCGATGGACACAGATAGACCACATTGCTATTAGTCATCGCTGGAGAGGATCGGTGGAAGACTGCCGCTCCTTCTGGAGTACGTGTTTGGACAGCGATCATGCGTTGGTCCGAGCACGTATATGCCTGCGTCTCAATGGACGTAGAAAAAATTTGGCAACAAAACCACTACGAGTTCTGCTGGACAACGAAAACACCAAAGCCGTGTTCAGTGAGAAGTTGGCTAGGCAGTTATCGGAACAAAAGACTGTCACTCATCCAGAAGAAGCTTGGTGCCATCTTCAGTCTACTGTAAAAGCAGCACTGGAGACTGTAGCCGACTCCAAGATAATGGCTAAAAAGAGCCAGTGGATATCAGCAGCTTCTTCCAAACTAATGGATGCACGTGAATGCATCCCTGCAGGCTCTGAGTACAATGAAGAGCGAGCGCAACTTAAAAATAACTGACGAAAAGTCTGCGCAACGATCGTGAACAGTGGTGGGCAGCAAAGGCTAAAGAGATGGAAAAGGCAGCGGCGATCGGTAACAGTAGACAGTTATTTAGACTTATTAAGGAGACTGGGGGGAAATGGTCAACAACAGTTAGTGAGGTTATAGCGGAGAAGGACGGATCGGCGATTCACTCGCAGGGAAGGCGACTGGGACGATGGGCAGAACACTTTGAGGAACAGTTTAACTGGCCTCCAGCCACCATTGCGCTGCCCGCTATCCAGTCGGACCCTGAATGGGACATAGAGACAGGTCCCCCAACACTAGAAGAAGTTGAGAAAGCGGTAGGTAGCCTGAAACGGGGAAGGGCAGCAGGACCAGACGGACTACCTGCTGAGGTATACAAGAATGGTGGTAGAGTTCTCTTAGTCAGGCTAACGGAAGTGTTAGCCAGTATATGGGAATCAAATACGATCCCCTCCGACTGGTCTAAGTCACTCATCATCCCAGTCTTCAAGAAAGGCGAGAAGTCCTCTTGTGATAACCACAGAGGAATCAGCCTGACAAACATAGTGTCTAAGATCCTAAGTTCTATAATTCTCCGACGCCTGAGTGGAGCTCGGGAACAGCAAGCCCGAGAAAACCAGGCAGGCTTTAGACCTGGCCGTGGATGTATCGACCAAATATTCACACTGCGCCAGGTCCTGGAACATAGGCATGCTTACAGACGCCCGACAATAGCTGTATTTCTCGACCTGAAGGCGGCATTTGACTCCGTTGATCGAGAAGTCTTATGGCAGTGTCTGTCACTGAAAGGCGTGCCTAGTAAGTACATCACCTTATTGAAAGCTCTCTACTCGAACACTTGTGGGCATGTTAGAGCCTATGGTGAGTTGTCCAGGGAGCTATACTCATCAAGTGGTGTCCGTCAAGGATGCCCACTATCCCCATTCTTATTTAATTTTATCATAGATATTCTTATGGAGGTTTCCCTCTCGTCACCTAATTACAAAGACGTTGACCGGATCACAGGTGAATTTTCCTTAGATCTAGAATATGCAGATGACATAGTCCTGTTAGGTGAAGACGCTGACAAGATGCAGAGTCTTCTGAACACTTTGAGTGGGAATTTGAGAATGTTTGGG